TGGACCAGTTGGTTTTCTTTTTGTAATGTCTGCTGTTACTGGATGAAAAGGGGATCGACTAGTGGAAATACAGAAGTCAGAAAGAAATATTAATACTTTTCAGGTTGGAAAGTGCTCAAGTTGTTAGGGTTGTCCATTAAAGCAGCAGAACGTAAGTGTGGTGGGTTACAATGCTCTGTATGTATGTAGAATCAGTATAGCATGTAAAGCATTTTTTCAAGAACTTAACTTCTCATAAAAATGCTTTTTAAACTAACAGCTTTCTTCTGCTCAGTAGGATGTGATTTGTTGGAAGTGTATGTTGACCTGGAACCAACACGGAGATGACTAAGTAGGAGGAAAATGGTTTTAACATGCCTCTGCTTTGCCAAGGAATATGGAAACAATAACAGATTTGTCAAGTCTGTGGGTCAGCTAGCCGTGTAGTGATATATGATATTTCTCTATGCACGACATACTTGGTGTATTGGGTTGTTTTTTCCTAAAGCACCATTTAGGAGCTGAAATGTGAATCTTTGTCCCGGCTGCTGTTTATCACCTTCACGGGTATGCCCTTTGCTGATCAGATGTACCCAGGGTACGGGGGAGACCTTGGCTTCTCATCGTTGAGGCAGGCACATAATGTGGTCTATCTTCTTATTTGTTTTATGGTGAAATTTGATAGCCAAGAATGTTCATGTTTGGCAGTTGTCAAAGCATATTTGGTCCATGCACTAAAGCTCTGCAGTAGTCCTTTTCCCCTTCCCCAGTTTTTGTTTTCCCCGTGCCACGACATCCTCCATGCCGCCTTTCCTTATCACTCTGGGGTATGCTGCATCGCTCCTGTGCCAAGCAGCCTCTCCTCGAGGTTTCAAACAGTGCAGAGATGATTCCTGGTGTGCTTCCTTCTTTGGAAGAGAACCAGCGACTTGAAAAACAAGTATTCCATTTAACAAGAAATTAAAACTTTAGATGCTGTTTTCTTCCCATTTAAGAGCAGAACAATGCTGTGGGGTGGGGAGAAATAATCACACAGATGAAATCCCAGGAACACCCTTTCCTCAGTGAAGAAGAGGTAGTAGCTCAGCAGTTAGTTGTTCTGAGATGTGCTGGTCACCGGGTTCAAGTTCTGGCTGTTTCGGGAGTGAGCCTGAACCACTCAGCGACCTCTGTCTCTCTCCCTTTTGGCACTTGTATGAGTGACCTCAGAAATATTTTGTTGCAACAAATATATGATCTCATATCCTCTAACAAACCCTGTGTAGACCAGTCACTGAGGGATGGCCCTGTTTGGTGGGGAGTTTGAAGTGTGGGACAAGGCTTTAAGAAGGAAGAAGTGATTTTTCAGGAGGAGAGTTGTTTAATACCACCTAGAGGTTTGCAGTGCTGGCCATCTCTCCGCTTGAAAAATAAAGCTTTCTCAGTGCTGAACTGCTAAAGGCTTTTAGATGTCCCCTCAAATTTCTGTTGATGCAGGACCAAAGGACACCAATAACACCCTTTTTAACTCCCTGCCCCTTTCTGCGTCTCATTTCTGGTTCAGGATTTTTCCTGAGTCTCAAATTTTTTCATGGCTCTAGGTAAGTATGCTGCTGGCTCTGAAGGGCAGAGCTCGTGGAGGAGGTGGTGTTCTAAACCTGTTTGGGCTCACTGCCTGATGCTGGGGGGAGGAGGAAGGGAAGAGAACTGGGTTCCGTGGCATGGGGGGGATCTTTGCAGCCATGCATCTCTTTGTTTCTACCCCCTGGACTTCCCTGGTAAAACCTCTCTGGGATCTGAGTGACTGTAGTCCATATTCCATGAAATTTCAAGATGACTTATTGTTGCCATCTGCTCTTTTGGAGCAAAGCTACCGAGTTGCTAAAAAATAAAAGGCAGTGAATTAATAAAACGGTTTGGGTCAGAAGGGACCTGTAAAGCTCATCTAGTCCAACCCCCTCTGCCATGAGCAGGGACATCTTTCACTAGCCCAGGTTGCTCAAAGCCCGGTCCAACCTGGCCTTAAACACTTCCAGAGAATGGACATCTACAGCGTCTCTGAAAGCTATAAAAAATGTCCTTATGTCCAATCTGAATCTACCCTCTTTCAGTTTAAAACCATCACCACTTGTCCTGTCACTTACAGGCACTGGTAAAAAAATCTCACTGTCTTTTTTTTTTAATAAGCCCCCTTTAAGTATTGAAAGGCCCCAATAAGGTCTCTCCAGAGCTTTCTCTTCTCCAGGCTGAACAACCCCAACTCTCAGCCTTTCTTCATGGGAGAGGTGTTCCAGCCCCTTGATCATCTCCATGGCCTCCTCTGGACCTGCTCTAACAGGCCCATGTCTGTCTCGTGCTGAGGACACCAGAGATGCTAATATTGAGAAAATGTTTATAGCACGGATAGTAAGTAGTTACTGTGACCAACAAAAAATGGTGTGTTGACTTTTTGACAATGGGAATTTCTGCATGGCCTTTTTCATGCTGTTGTTTCCTTTCTTGCAAGTTGAAACTAAGCTAAATGATTCACTGGCACTGTTAGCATGAGCCCAGAAGTCTTTGGAGAAGTTAATTCCTTTGGCTTCTCCCTACTGCATCACTCAAAATATTACCATAGTCTACCTTTAAGCATCATTTAAGCATCGTGTTTTTTGTTGCTACTCCAAACAGTTGTACTGGATGGTGTTTCCACCTCTGACTTCTTATGAAGGAGTTCCGGTTGAACAGTTAGTGTCTCACTTCACTTGAGCTTGTGTTTTTCTGGATAGTGAATTAGAGGCTCCTTATAGTTCGTTAATTTTGCATTTAGCATTATGTAACCTGTACAAGATTGTAAGTACATAGCATAAGTTTGAGTAGCATGTACCCTTATAGCTCATTTTACATCCTTAGCCTATTCCACTTCAGAATTCTCATAAGCAGCCTAAGTTGGCCAAAATACACACTTTGCGTTAATTAAATCTCTTAAATAGAGTCTAATTTTCTTCCTCCTCTTGAAGTTGGTGAGAGATTAGTAATAAAAGAAAATTAGTTGGTTGATAGCATCATGTATTTGCTCGGTGCAGAAGCAGATAACTGCCTCAGGTGTGTGGTGAACTCTTCATTCCTGTGTGAACATTCAGTATATTAAAAGTTGACAACGTTATTTGAACGTTTTTCCTGGCAAGATAATTTTATGGAAGATCAGAATCAACAAACTGAGGAAGCACTAGAACACGTAACATACGCATTTTTAAAGAGTCTTATTTCCTTCGGTGGATTTGGTTAAAGTTTTACACTTCAGCTGAAAGTAAGCTTGAAAGATTTGCGATTGATATTGCTGGACCTAAGATTTTGTTTGAGATGATTCTTTCCAAAACATGAAAAATAATTTGACTATTACTAATACAGGGATTTGAGACTAAATGGTGAAGTGTCTATTTCCTCTTCTGACCTCTTGACTCAGACAGCACAGTTGTAGTGGGCAACAAGTCAGTAAAACAAAAATTATCTTTTTTTTTTTTTTCCCTCTTAAGATGAGGAAAGAAAAGGTTTTGTGCAAAAGGTAATTGAGAGCATCCTGAGAGAATAAAATGTTGTGTTGATGAAAAGTAAACCTACTTCATTGTAGTTGATGAAGTTGCTGTCCTAGTTTTGTTTTCATTTCTGTCTGCAAATGTTTTCAAGGAGGTTTAACTTTCTCAAATTCATAAGATGCTTCTGACTTATGTCTTGGTTTCTATCTTGTTCTTGTGTTTTTGGCAAGAACTCGGTGTCACCAGTTGTAGCTTCCAATAGACATGGAGGCCAACCAAAATAGTTTCCATTTCCCACTGAGGTACATTCTTAGAAGAACTTTTCCAATCCAAATAGCTGGCATTTATTACTTTTTAATTGCTTAGTGTGATACTTGCTTACATTTGCTGTTTTAATGTCTTTTCCTGTCTGTAAACTGAGAGTCCCAAAGGGCACATGCATGCAGTCACTGAATTCAGTTTACATAGTTTTGGGAAAAGCAGATTGCATGTATGTGCTGTTTGTCACAGATGGTGTCCCAACAAGAAAAAAAAGTTGTGCTAATGTTGAAGGAAAATGAAATGAAAAAAAAAAAAAAAAAAAAAAAAAAAGAAGGGTAGCCTTAGAGTTTAGCATCATTTTTTCCAACCGCTTTGGGAAAAGTGATCAGTATGGCACATGTATACTTGAGCTCAGCAAAGGTTCTCAAGTTGTGCTATGTAGGCAACAAGCAATGGGCAGGAGAAATGGCTCTTGGACAATTTTGGTCCTCAGGATATTACCGGTGACCCAATTTTAAGTCTAATTTTTTTTTTTTTTTTGTGGGCTTTTTGTGAAACCTGGTCATGCAAGTAGGTAAGGATCTTCATTCTGTATTTTAAAAAAAGAAGTATATTGCTGATCTTTGAGATTGTAAAGAAAAATCCTAGAAGGTGAAAGGGTTCTTAAAAAAGGCAAGATAAGCAAAACGGGGGCATTTCACCCCTAATAATTTAACTTAGGTTGGTCATTTTTTATTCAGGCTTTTTGAGGGGGGCACCAGTGAATTTTTAGAGCTCTGGTTTTGACAGCATGATTCTAGTGAAAATAGTTTGAGACCCGTGCCCATATGAGAATGCAGGTCTCAACTCTTTCCCCTTCTGATATACATAAACCAGGAGGGGGTTAATTTTTCACAGTTTAGGATTGTTTGTGGAGGAGAAGAAACAGGACTCGTGTATGGCTGAAAACCAGACTGATGTGCATTATGGGCCTGCATTTAGAGTCTGTGTTTTAAGTTGTGTCAAGGAGGGCTAAGCTGTGTGGCAAACTGTTCTTTACACTGCTATAAATCTAAACATCCATAAATCTTCAATCCACACCTTTCACATTTTTAGCCTTCACTGGACTCCTATGTTGCTAAAGTCCATTTAGTAGCCTAAGATCCCAAATTAGTTTTTTATTACCCCGTATAAAACTTTTCTTCTGGATTTCTTCTGCTGTCTCTCTGCTTGTGGCTAAGTTGTATGAATATTCAGATTAACTGTGGTCCTTCCCTTGCCTTGTAGGACACCTCAGTGGGCAGACCTCTCAGACCAACACCAAACTGGAAAAGCTGGACCCCCAGCAGGTGCTGCAGCTCTGTCTCCGGTACCAGGATCATCTTCACCAGTGTGCAGAGGCGGTTGCTTTTGATCAGAACGCGCTCGTGAAGCGGATCAAGGAGGTACTGCCTGCAGCGTGCCCGCTTCTGGTGGGGAAGGGCTTGGGGCATCGCTGTGGCCATCTCGTCCTCCCTGTCGATAGCCATGGGTCGCTTACAGCAGCCCACTCCAAAGGAAACCCTGTAGAGAAACTTTGTGGGTGCACACTTGAAGCAGTTTCCTGGCTTTCATTGTGGTTACTGTTAGGTGGTGTGTTTATGGGTTATGCCATATGATTCCTGACCATAAACAGTGCCTGTTCCTCTGCTATGGCAAGTACTGCAAGTAACTGCTGAAGAAGTAAAAGATGACTGGAATTTTTAAAGGTAACAATCCTTCTTTAGGTCAGTGTAGCATGCATTTCATTATGCAAGGCTCTAATTTAAAGAAGGAAATGGTTATCTTACCATGGTTGGAGAAGGTGGTATGTATTTCTTTCCTCAGTGGATTTGTAGAGCTGGACTTTGTTCTGAAAGCCTATAACATGCTGTCTCTTCTCTGATCCGTATGGCAAAAAGATCTTCCTGTGCTGCTGTTTTTACCACTAAACCATCGTTTGAAAATCACTGATCTGCTTAAATATTCAGTGATACTGTTGGGGAGGAAATTAATTCCTGGGGTGAGCATCCTGCAACTGGATGATCATTCTCATATGTAACTACTGATGTCTGAAGCAGTAGGATAGCGGGCAGATTTTTTTTTTTTTTTAATTTTATTTTTGAAGTCAAAACACTGGCACAGGAGATGCTATTCAAGAGTGTTTTCTCACATACTTTCAGGTGTGTAGAAGAACTGTTGAGTGCTGCGTATGTCAAAAGCCTATGAGACCAAATACCTTTCAATGTCAAAAGAAAAAATTTTTGAACAGGTGGTTAATTTTTATTCGTGTAATATAAACAATGACCTTGATTCGTTGTTGCTTTATTGGCTTAGAGTTAAGAAAATCCCACGTGACAAACTGGGTAATAAATTTGATTCATGGGCTGTTTTGAGAAGCTGCTGTCATCATGAAGTTGTACGTCCAAAATAACTAGTAAAAAGGCCTTTTTACTTTTGGTGTATCAAGATCTGAGGCCAGCTATTACACAAGATGTAAAGATATTTGCAGATGTTGGTGTCTCAGATCACACAATCTCAGAAATGGGATTTAATTGCCAGGCTAATGACAGCGTACTGCATTAATCCAAGCAGATTGTAATTCTTTTGGCTGTTAAAGTGTGAGAGGGAATATCGACATGATTTAAAGTCATGGTAGACACCACTAGTGCAATCTGCATTAGTTGGATTTGCCTTCCATAGGGGCAAGTGGCAGGATCCCTTCTGATTTAGCTATGGTTATGTTTTCTTCTGGTTCGTAAGGCTTATGATTTTTTTTCCATTTAAAATAAATAAAATCACAGTATGATACTGACACTAGCTTCTTTATCACTGACAAAGTGAAGGAGAAATGGGCAACTCTAACTCAGGCAAGTGACAAGTTGATTGGGTTGAGTTTGGGGTGGGTTTTTTTGTTGGTGTTTTTTCTTTTTTGTCAAAACACTTAAGTAACTTCAGATGCTTTCAATCCCTCTGCCAGATCTGGTGGGTTTTTACTGTTCATTTCCCTAATAATTTTTAAATGTTTTTCTTGCATTGGCTGTTCTGCGTGTGTGTTCTGGAGGAGCCGTGTGGGACACACTCAGCTGAAATCATTCTTTCCAAATTGTTTGGGCTCTCCTTGGTGCACTAAACTGAACCGCTGTTGACAGTTGTTGACAACAAGGGGTGCAGCTGAACTAGAGCAGGGTATGTGTCTCGTTACAAGTGTAGACAAAGAAAATCACATTTGGCTGCACCCATTTGTCAGCAATGATTTCGTTTTGCCATGTAGGCAAAGCTGTGACCATTCGTAAAGAGTAAAAACGAAAGAAAATGCATAATGTGTGCATGATCTGAACAGCAAATTTTTTCATCCTCATTTTAGTAGTCAGTACTACCCTTTTCCTTTCTTTAACACTGTAAGCATTGAAGTGTTTTTCTTCTGATAACAGACTTACCGAGTGACTGGTGCTTTTAACTTGCCTACAAAATGTTGGTGAGCTTCAGTCCCTGATTTCTTACCATTTACCTGAGGTACGTTCACTTTTCAGACTGTCACTGCGGTACTCAGTGCAGCAATAGCCCTGCTGTATAGTGTGCTACAGTCATACTGCCTGCAGCCAGGATTTTTTTTTTTTTTAGTCTTTCCTTGACAAAATGTCCCAGGGCAAATATCTTTTGCTCGTTGTCTGTGTGGTCAGAAAAAATGTTTCCTGGTTGCTGGCAAAACGCGAAAGTACTGTTGTAAATTTATTGGTCCTCGATAACTCATAATTGATGTGGTGGTTTGTAAATCAGCTCACAGTCTGAACGAAAATGGTTCTTAATAGGGAGGAGAATAAGCTAAGGAAAACAAAAACATTGCATGACAGTAGTTAGTGCAGATCTAAGTCGAGCCATCTGGCGTTCCCTTACTTTGGGGACCAAAGCAGTCTAGCTTTGCTCTCCATCCCATTTCTCAGTTTAGCCAGAATTTCTTTGCAGTGTGTTGGCTGGATCCGTATCTTCTCCAAAACATAGAACCTGTGCAGCTTCCAGGTTGTTCTGACAGTTCTGTCTTAAGAAGAAATACATTTACCCAGGCTGTTCCTTGAAAGGGAAAGAATTGAAGATGTGATTGAAGGTAGTTGACTCAACTACAGTTACACTTACTCAGACTCGAAACTGTTGGTTTTGGAAAGGATTGATTTTTATGACAATAGGCTTTGTTTTCACTGCCAAAAGAAAAAAGACGTGCTTGCATCTTTTTAGGAAAAAATAACCACTATGCATTAAATATTATGTTTCATATTAATTTTTGGCAGCTGACTCACTATCTGTTGTAATACTGCATTAATTCCAGGACCACTGAAATATTAAGGATTCCTTTTAATTTTTTCTCCTTATCAGTTTGAAAAAAAACAGAGCAGCAATTTGGAATTTATGTGTGTTAATCCAGGGTTATGGCATCTCACAAAATTTGTCAGTTTTCAAGAAAAAAGCCTCTGTGCAGCATTTTCTAGGCAATTTGTCTACGCTTTGGTATTTTGTAGGATGAAAATTTTTAGCTTATTGGATGAACTGCCACGTTACTGACTTGTGGGGGGCATTCTGTTGAGATGGGTCTGGGAACGGAATCTAGCCTGTGTACTGATGGTATGTTGGACCCATGTGAGCTTGTTCCATGCGTAGGCTAGGAAAAAGTTTTTAAAACCCAGTAGGTAATGTGTTACACTAAGGTATAAAAGGCAGTTATAGCTAGTTAGGAGGTTAAAACTGATCTTAGCTGCACCCTGGAGCTTTTGCCACAGAGCGTTTAACGATGGAGACAGAGTTGATGAAGTGCCTTGCAGAGAATGTTAATAGTTCGTGCAAAAATTTCAGGGGTGAACTACGACTTGCTAATCAGGGATAAAACAATCTCGATCTGCCTATTCTTGGGTGTTGTATGTAAAAAAAAAAAAACCAAACCGAACAACCCCAACATCAAACCAAAACCTTTAGTGTCTAACAGTGTGAGGACAAAAGAGCTCCTTCGTTTCTGGGTGGGGGAGTTGAGGGTCCTGCCTGTAGACAGGAGATCTTCATTTGCTGCATCCCACATCCATCTCTGCCATGATAGTGCTGTAGCTCTGAGTTATAACTAGTTCAAAGTTTTAAGCAACTCCAGCTGCTGTTGAGTTTAATAGAGCAGCATGTGCTCTCTTTGCCAGGAGTGTCTGCCTCAGTTTTGCGATCTGTAAAATGGAGGCTTTCTGCCAAGATTAGTTTGAAGGCAAATGTTAACCAGCACTAAATACTAGGTAAGACTTGGAGGAATGAAGGAAATGAAGAGGGGAGAGGGCTACTTTATGTGAATTCCTTATCGGTGGAGAATATCTGTTTTGGGTGGCAGAGAATTTGGAGACCCCTCTGATAGGTGATGGTAAATAATAGGGAGTAGGAAACAAGTAGAATAGGTAAAGGCTGGGGAAGAGAGATAGATTTTTCAGAAAGGGCCTGTGGTTTTGTGTGCCTCCAAAACTCTCATTTCAGTCCCTTAAGATTATTTTTCCTGCACAAGATGCTAAGCTTCTCAAAATTTGCATCTTTCCAAGTATCTGAAGCTGAGTATCGAAACATTACTAGTCACACTTGAACATCTAGGACTAGCTTCTTTCTATGAAAGCAAAAGGGAAGCTGAAAGCAATCTAAGCTCCTTTCAGAGAAGCTTTGAATGAAAAGATCTTCAGCATTTTTTATTAGACATCCAATATTGGCAAAGGGGATGTGATACTCGAAGTATCCTGTATACCCTAAAGGCAAATGTAGTTCCTAGATAAACTGTGCTTAAAATGTATTTGAAAGTGCATTACTGGGAGGGCTCTTATGCTTTGCCCTAAAACCAAATTTCAGTGCAGTGTTATCTGTAGCTTTTATTGCCACAGGAATCCCAGACTGACAACAATTTTGAAAATGGAACACTTTTTACTGTATAAAATGAAATAAAAAATATCTGGGTCTAAGCTGGCGCACACCTATGGGGAAGCTCATCCCAATTTTCAAATATAATAAAAACTACTTTTATATTCTTAACTATTCTCAATAGTTAGACAACTTTTGTCCAGGCAAGGCATTAATATCAGTAATTGGTTTGCTATATAGCCAATTACAGTGTATGGGTTGTTTCAGACCTGTAAATTCCTCTTTGGGAATAGCTCATTATTTTGAACAAATATTACAGAATAAAGTTTGTATGGATTTTTTTTTATTATTATTTGTTTGCTTTGGCTTTTTTTTTTTCTTTACCATCTTGCTGCAAAAATTCACTGTAATGGGCTTCTCTTAGTATGTAGTTAAGATGTCCACAAAGACATCCTTTAATATTTGGCAAATAAATAACTTTTGAAGCCACACATACACCACATAGTGTCTCCTAATATATTTCAGCTGTTTAAAATTATGGATAGGAGTTAAATCATTATTT